GTTCCATTTTCAACCCATAACAATGATACATGCAATTATCCAAAGGGTAAACGAGACTTGACTTGTATTCTCCCCCGAAAAGTATGAAAAACACGAAAAGATGGGGGTATGAAGCTCACCTTGGTATTTTTCGTGTGATAGGAAGAAGAAGAAAGAAGTTGTTGAGCCTAGCTTTGTGTAGCTTGAAGGTCACTCGAAAATGGGTGATGTTCTAAGAGACTACACACAAAAATGGTGTGTAAACATGAGTTTTAGCTTGAAGAGATGTAAGAATACTTGGAGTTTACAAGAACACTTACCAAATTCTATGGACCACCGTGAAGATGTAACTTCCTTTGGAATGTAGCCCACGAAATTTTGGAGAGGAAGTGAGGGAGAATTTAAGAGTAAACTTGAGTGAAGATGATCTTTGTGATAGTGAGGGGGAGGGTTCGGCCGATCTCTATCTTTTATGGGAGATTGGTTGACTTTTTTTGATGTTTGATGGGAAGTTTGCCTAGAAACATGATGGTCAATAGCTTTGGTGTTTGTGGGATAAAAATGAGGTGGCAAGCCTTTTTGATTTTTCTTTTTTTTTTTTTGTTTTACTCATGCCCTAACCGAAACCCTATAGGGTTTTCGGTTTTTGGCTTGGCCCATTAAAAGGTTTTCGGTCCATTAAAGCCCAAAGATAGAAAGGTTTTCGCTTTGGAGTATGTATGGGCTTTTTGGATTTAATTGGGTCCAATAAAAGGGTTATCGGCCCAAAGAAAAGTTTTCGGCCCAATAAGGCCCAAGGAAGAGTTTTTGGTCCAATAGGGTGTTGGGCCGAGAATTCTTGGACCAAGGCCTAACATTGATTGGGCTTAGCTATTGGATCAAGTTTTGGGCTTTCATGAGGCTACTTCAGCTTGATTCTAAATGTACGCTCGTATGAATTCAAATAACATTATAGTTTGAATTTCACTAATTTGATGTTGTAAGGTTACATAGAGGAATTTTTTGTACATGAATCACCATCTCAACCCTAAATTTGCTAGTTGTGACATAAAAGATGAAGCATATTATGTTATGAAGCTTGAGGAAGTTCGTGCAAAGACAAAGAATCTCTCCTTGGTTGCGAAGGATGCTGGTGATGATGATGGTACCTATCAAATTTGGTATTCAGGCTTCGATGACGAAGAAATGCGTCATCCTACTCATGGAGTCATGTTTGTGAAGCATGAGGTTGGTCATTCAGGTGGAAAGAGTATGTTTGGTGAGTTAGTGGAAGATAGTGATGTGGAAGAATTAGAGAAGGAGGAAGAAGAGGAGAGTGAATAGGAGGAAGAGATGGTGGTTGGAAAATGTTTCGTAATGATGGTAGCATATCAAAGGATGTATGCAATATATTGTTCTATACTATACATGTTTTAGTGTAGATATAAGTGTTGATATCAACTTCGTCGAGTTAATTACATTGGTTGCTACCAAGTCCAGGTTACACACTAACCAAATTCGTCTATCTTTTTCAATGTCCTAGATCAAATATAGTTAGATTCTAGATGATAGTGATGTCAGATATTTTCTTAGTTTTGTTAGTATTATGCCTCCCAACACAGTACAATTGTTTGTTGTTAGTAACGTTATTGAAAGTGTTATTCATTGATTTTCCGGTGAAAATCATTATGGTGGAAATGGGTCTTCTGGTGCTGGAAATAACCAAATGTCTAATTTATTACCTATGACAACCAACCATGTTCCTTCTTATAATGGCTTTGTAGATGGGGGTGATTATAGAAATAAAGGTAAGGTTGTTGTTGATGCTTTTCCTATAGTTGATGTTGATGAATTTGCAAATGATGATGCAAAAATACTGATGTTGGTTGATGGTGGTAATATAATTCCATATGGAGAGCGAGATGAACATTTTCAGAGTTACACTGAATTTTCATGGGGAATATACTGAAGGTGAAGAGGAGGAAACTAGGCCCTTAAAACTCCAAAAATCACAACAGGAAAAGTTTCCTTTTTATTTTTTCGATTATGAAGAAACACAAACCACCCATTGGGGTATGCCTCAACCTTTACCATTGCTTGAATTAGTTCAACAAAAACGTAAAGATGCCACAGCCCATAATTATACTTCCTATTTCAAGTTATACCAACTCTTCAAAAACAAAGAAGAACTTAAGCTTAAATAGGATTCAAAAGTGTTACTGAAGGCTTCCAATATAAAGTGAAAAAAATCCACAAAAGACAGGTTTGAAGTTGTTTGCTTTATGGATAATTGTGACTGGAATTTACGGGCAACAAAACATTATACTATTGATACATTTCAAGTGGTTAAACTATTGGAGAAACACACTTGCTCAAACACACAGCTACTTCCTCATCACCGACAAGCCAACAAAAATGTATTGGGTCACTTGTTGAAGGGTATATTGGTTGATAGTACATGTAATATATTACGGGGGAAATAGATACAAACAACTTTAAATGACCGTCTTAGTGTACATATTTCATATTGGCAATCATCGAGTGCTAAAATGTATGTTCTAAATCTGTTGAGAGGGACCCCTGAAGAAAGCTTTCAAAGACTACATTTATATTGTTACAACTTGGAGAAGAAGAATCCATGGACAATTACACATATAAAGAAGAGTTATGATAACAAATTTGAATATTTTTCATGGCTATCGGTTGTGCGGTTCACAATGGAAACATATCGATCAACATATAGAGAGGTTGTGTTTCATGTGTCAGTTCCAACTGAATACAAACAACCAGATGGCATGATGGTTGTATTACCACCATTGATAGACAAACGACAAGTCGGACGACAACGAAACCATAACCGTATCCCATCCCAATGCGAAGGTCCGATTCAGAAAAAAATGAAGTCGTTGCCAAAGAATCGGTCACACAAGCAGAAATTGTGACGTGTCGTTTCCCACAGATTCAACAAAAACTGAAAGTTCTAGTAGGACCAAACCAAGTGCCAAAAGTAAGGTTAAGTCTAAGAGTAGATCTAACGTTAAAACTAGTCAAAAATATGATATTATTGACCTTAAAAACCCATGATGATATTTGTACGAAACTAGAATATTTTACATTGTTTGGAAACATAAAATTGTTTTTGCTACATCGTCATAAGTAAATTGTTTAAAACACACACAATGAAAAGCCATAACTCAAACATCAGGGTAATCCGTAGCATCTATCCATGGGACACTCTCAATCCACCACAAAGCAGCACGCTCCCGCTGAGTAGTTAACTTATAAATTATAAGGTGAACTAAGCTACATACATCAGTAACATCAAGAATACGTTCACACTCAGCAGCGTGCAGACGCCTCATCCTAAGGTATGCAACTGCCCGAGGGATAACACCCGGTATAGAGGAACCAGCTATACTACGGTTGGGAAATGTCTCCATGATCCGAATCTAAAAAATTAAGATGTTAAACAACTAACCAACTTAACAAAGGGATAATACTTGTTGCTTAAAACATTTTAAACACAGTGGACATACCTAAAATGCATAGACAAATCCATGTAAAGTATATGTGTGTCTACTACCGATTCTTGGTGCATTAGGGTTCAAATGCTCCTCAATCTTGTCAAACACAGTACATAGTTGTTTGTAAGTGAAATCCCATATCACTCTACCCCATGGGTACCTATGTCAATAGTTACACTTAATAAGTATATCTATGATTTGATATATTGTGTGTAAAAAATTGTATACATGTTAAATTTGTCCAAATTAGAGACGAGTGTCATACGTTCATCAGTAACCGGATGTCGAGGGTATTTCCCCAAAAATCCTTACTCTAGCATAAATAGCAGCGAAACTCTCACCGTGTCTGCATCATTTAATTGATGAAGTAAGTTATTGAACACGTTGATAAGGTTAGCCACTCTCACCGAATGTAAAAGAGGCACAAATGGGAACACATGTTGTTTGAACTCTCCAAAAACAGAACTTGGGGGGGGGGGGGATACTCCTCGAACCGCAAACCGGTGACCAAGCATAATGCCTTCCTGTCAGAGCAAACCCAATAATGGCCAACTGGAAATAGAAGCTCTTGTAGGTCAACTGGATCAAAAGTAGTAAATTTCTTGCACATAAAATAGTGACAGATTAAATGGTGACATTATACACCCATCGTCATGTTCACGTAATCACCAAAACATGATTGCCTAAACAAGACCTCACAAACTGGTCGGTTATTTAAACGAGCCATTATTTCGCGCCCAAGTTCAGGCCGGCATGTTGTAGTAACAACCGCTTCGTATGTTCTGTCGTGTTACAATCAAATGAAAAATTAATTAGGCATTTTTGTATGTATGTTCCGGAGGACATTACTGAATACTCAATTCCGAAACAGAATTTCGGAACAAAAATACGAAACACAATTCCAATAATAAATTCCGGAACAAAATTTTGGAATGTTCATCGTATTCTGGAGGACTTCATATTATTCTGGACATGTTTTTTGGATTCCAAACTATTGAAAATGATGTTTTTTGGTGATAATTTTTTATGTAGCATATGTATATTCCTACATATAAACTTCTATGGTCTTTAACCAAAAATTTCTAAGGAAAAATAATATTACCTATGTAACTACATAAATTATACAGGTTTTAACGTATAATCTAAATTATAAGCATATAATTATAAAAACAGTGGAAACTTACATTTAAAAAATGCATCTCATCACCGCTATCAAAGTACATTTTAAGTTTTAGGGGTGCTCGGAATGCTTTGTAGGGTAATCCGAAATGAAGGGAAATACAGAACGACTAAAATTGTATATATAGGGGACCATATTTTCGGGTCGGATCATCACCCATAAATGTTCCGAATACAAAATCGGGTCCATAATGACCTATTATTACAGACCAAGTGGTCATTTAAAAAAAATTATTATTACTATTGAAATAAGATTAAAAAGTGGTTATTTATTCAATTTCCTTTGGTTATTTTTGTTAAGTACTACCTATGAATAAGTGTTTACTAAGCATAATTTATCCTAACGGAGACAATATACATAAAGTCATAAACTCCCTGTTGTTCGATTTCTAACGAGGTGGGGGTATCGGAGAGTACCAGTAGTAGCAGTAAAGCAGAAGATTAAGGGCAAACCAAATCAAAATCAAAATGGAGAAGATGAGCCAGGCTATGGAGAAGGTCAGGATGCTCGTCGGAATCGAAGTCGAAGATAATCAACAAGCCGATGAAGAGTCATCTTTCGCATTCATGGATGACTTCAATCGCAACTGTACTTTGTCCACTAAACAGGTCAGTGTTTTTCTTCTGAATATATATTTCTTTCGTGCTTAGGTCGCCCGTTGTTCGTTTCACATGCATTTGCATTGCCGAATTTCCCAATTAGGGATTCATAGAAATCAAATTTAGGTATTCAAGATCGGAAAATGCTACATGAAGTAATTCGGCTTCATGAAAATGTAGATCTGTGGTGGCTAGTTGTATTTGTTGCATATTTGACTCTCATTTCTACATATCGCCATAATATTTTTGATAGCTATGTTGAACTGTACACGAAAATATAATGGTAAAATGATTTTCTAAAAGGAAAACCTTTTAGGTCGAATAGAGATATCAGATGTAGTTTAATGTTCTAAGTGGATGTTGAGTTTGTATGCAAAACGTTTAGGATTCAACCTTCACATACAATACAAGACCTGCTAATGCTGTATTAATTAGATGATTACAGGGTACTAAAACTGAATAAAGAGTCTCTTGTCTGTATATGTCTCATCATTTGGTGAAACAAAGAATCTATTAAAAAACAAGTTTGGGAAGATCTGGAATAATCCATTCAGATCATATTGATTAAGTAACTATCTATACTTGGAGATATCAGTGGTCATATAGGTGGAGATATTAGAAATTAGAGGCTTTGAAAGAGTTCATGGAGGTTTGAGTTTTGGGGATTAGAACCAAGAAAGAGAAGAAATCTTGACTTTTGAAGAAAACTTATTGACACTGATTGCAATCATTTGTTTGGTTTGATGTCTCTAAGTGACACAAGAAAACAGATACTTGTTTATGTCAACTATTTGTTTGGTTTTGTACCATGGCTTATGATGCAAATTATTTTTCAAATCTTGTATGTGGATTTCTTAGATTCTGATGAATTGGATATAATTATAAATATATCTGTTTGCAGTTATCTTTGATTTTCTGTTTTACTTATACCTTGTGTAATGTTTAATATTATTGTTAGCTTTTTTTGAGTCACACCACCTATATTCCTTAAATATTGACTTGGTTTCTACTCTTTCTAAACAGAGACTTTATGGTTTTGCCATATGCTTGGTTGCTGGTTTGACTTGTACACTTATGGTAAGTTTTAAAGTCAATATGTTTATTATAGCATCCTACTTTCAGAAAGATTTTTTATGTTCATCTTTATGGCCTTGTGATCATTGGAGATTGACAGATTGTATAAAGTCAACTGTTAATTACAGTAACTTACTTTCATGTATTTGTTTATTTTTAGCATCCTACTTTTATTTCTTTCTATTAAAGCATTACACTTTAAAAAAACTTTACCCAATTATAGCAATGTCATCAAAAAACAAAGCAATTTTTATAAACAAGTTCAATCTCGTAATAAAATTGATATTGAAAGTACAATGTTATAATTGAGTAGATTTTTCAAAGTATAATGTCTTAATTAGAATTTTTTTTTTTTGGAAATCACAGTACTTTTAAGAGAAAGAAATGAAAGCAGGTTTGCTAGAATCAACAAATAAATGAAAATATGTTTGCTATTTCTTGCATTTAGCCCTATTTTCTATTAAGGTTTTACTTTTGGTTTATTTTTGCACACTATATTGTTAACATGAATGTTTTATTATATATATATTTTTTTGCAGTCAATGCTAGTTTTCTTTAATCCCATAAAGTTTGGCATAGCATTCACCTTTGGAAATTTGCTTTCACTTGGCAGGTTTGTATTAAGATCATATGCAATGCATCATGTTTAAATCAATTTCAAGAGTAAATTACATTTTTGTCCCTATGCATACTTATATTGCCAAAAAAAATAGACAAAATTTCACAATTGATCCCTGTGGTTTACAAAATATCGCACTTTGAGGACTTCCTAGCAAAAAGTCACGCGACTGGTCCCTGTGGTTTGTAAAATTACATGAAAGGTCCCCCTGCCGTTAAATCTAACTTTTCAGCAGTTAGATTTTAATGGAAAAGACTATTTTGCCCTTGTACCAATATTGCAATACACTACAAACCTCAAGGACCATTCGTGTAATTTTATAAATTTGAAATTTTTATGTGTATATATAAATTATAAATTTCGCATTTTGTATTTATATAAATTATAAATATAAATTTTATATATAAGTATATATATAATTTCAACAATCTGATAAATTTTTTTTTTCTTTTTGACATTTTGTTTTTTATTTTTATTTTATAGTTTTAGTTATTTATGGTTTTTTGTTATATTTTTATTTATTTTGAATCAAGTAAATAAACTTAAATTCGATAAACCATGTCGAAATTATTTTTTCTTTAATTTTTCTTATTTGTGAATTGAAGCGTTAATGTTTTTTTTTTTTTTTAATTTTATGCCGTTACTGTTCATGTTTTTTTGGATGCTCCATAGTTAATATCGTTAGCAACTTTAAGTTTGCATTTATCATTATCATTATTTGACCTTTTGTTTTCTATTTTTGTTATAATTTTAATTATTTATTATTCTTCTATTGTTTTTATTTATTTTGATTCAAGTAATGAAAAATAGAAAAACAAAAAACAAAAACTCAAACACCAAATTCTAATATATTAATACATTTTACATTTTCATCTTTTTTTGGTTTTTTTGTATTTTTTTAAATTTTTTTCATATTATTTTTTAATTATTTCCTATTTTTATTTTTTAATTATTTCCTATTTTTATTTTTTTCGTTGTTTCGTTTTATTTTTCATCAACTTGATAACTGTTTTTTGACCTTTTCCAAAAAGTGTAAAATGTATGAATATATTAGAGTATATTACAATTTTGGTGTTTGAGTTTTTTTGGTTTTTTATAATTTTGGTTATTTATGGTTTTTGTAACTTTTTTATTTTGATTCGCGTAAATAAAATAGTTATATTTACAAATATAAATAAAGAAAATAAACATAACTTTTTTATTTACACAAATCAAAATAAAAAAAAGTTATGAAAACCATTAATAACCAAAATTAATAAAAAAATGCGAAAAAAACCAAAAAATATGAAAAGTGTAAAATGTATTAATATATTAGAGTATTTTACAACTTTGGGGTTTGAGTTTTTGTTTTTTTGTTTTTCTATTTTTCATTAATTGAATCAAATAATATATATATATATATATATATATATATATATATATATATAAAAACAACAAAAGGTGAAATAATGATAATGATAAATGCAAACATAAAGTTGCTAACGATATTAACTATAGAACATCAAAGTAAAATAAATAAATTGATAAATAAAATAAACCGTAACAACAAAAAATTTTAAAAAAAAAAACATTAACGTTTCATTTCATAATTAAGAAAAAAAAGGTTTCGATATGGTTTATCGAACTTAAGTTTATTTACTTGAATCAAAATAAATAAAAACATAAAAAAACCATAAATAACTAAAATTATAAAATAAAAATAGAAAATAAAATGTCAAAAAGAAAAAAAAATTATCAAGTTGTTGAAAATATATATATATATATATATATATATATATATATATACATATATATAAAATTTATATTTATAATTTATATATATACGGAATTTATATTTATAATTTATACATACATAAAATTTCAAATTTATAAAATTACACGAATGGTCCTTGAGGTTTGTAGTGTATTGCAATATTGGTACAAGGGCAAAATAGTATTTTCCATTAAAATCTAACAGCTGAAAAGTTAGATTTAACAGCAGGAGGACCTTTCATGTAATTTTACAAACCACAGGGACCAGTCGCGTGACTTTTTGCTAGGAAGTCCTCAAAGTGCGATATTTTGTAAACCACAGGGACCAATTGTGAAATTTTGTCAAAAAAATATTTCTCCCTTTGCTTTTCTAGGTCCTTAATTAGCAAACATTACCAATTTATTCTAAATCATCTTTTTTAACTAACTAAATCTAGTAAGCTCAAAGATTACAACAAGAGTAAATTGCAAAATTGGTCCCTGTGGTATCCCAAAAAGTGCAGTTTGAGCCCTTTTCTTTTAGACGCAGTTAACTCGAGGGACCAAATGTGCATGTAAGTTTCAATTTTTGATTGACCATGCGAATGAAAAAAAATGGTCTCAAACTGCACTTTTGAGCATACCAAAGGGACCAATTTTGCAATTTACTCTTACAACAATAATTTATTACCTAAATAAGATAAATATACAACACCAAATCCAACACATTTTATACAAAGTTGTGACTAAATAATGTTTAAAATGTGTAGTTATGAAGTTGTCTTTGCCCCATAAGTTGAATTCTTGAACATATTACAAAAACTTACTACATTGAACTATTATAATAATAATTGTAAAAAAGAAAAAAAAAATAGTTGAGTAGCTAAATCAATAAAATTATGTTTATATATGCTAAACTTTTTTATTGTATGACAGCACAGGGTTCTTAATAGGCCCTAAACGGCAAGTCAACATGATGCTTGACCCTGTGCGAATTTACGCAACTGCCCTCTATATTGCAAGTATACTGCTTGCCTTGTTATGTGCTCTCTATGTAAGTTACTTTTCCATTTTTACCCTTGAACAATTATATCTCCCTTTTTTTTTTTTTTTGCTTTAGAAACACTCCTCTCTTATCCCATCTCCCACTGATTACAGGTTCATAACAAGCTGTTGACACTGATTGCAATCATCTTAGAATTTGGTGCTCTCATTTGGTATGTCATAAATTTTATTTTTCTTTTTTATTGTTATTAAATAGTCACTGTCAAAATTTAATTTGTTTGTTTATTTTTCCATATGATGAACAGGTATAGCATGAGCTATATTCCTTTTGCTCGGGCGATGGTCACAAAAATCATGGTGGCTTGTTTTGATACTGAGTTGAGTGAAATGACTTAAATACCCCTCTTGTTTGTATATGAGAATACGGATTGGAGATTGCGGCATATACTATTAATCAGACATTGTAACAATTAACAAATGCACTTTTTTTACCTTCTGTTCTTTGAGGAATTCTTTGTCCATTTATGTTTCCAAAATTTCCATAGGGATTGTCGTTGACCGGGCTTTGACCTGACAAGAGGTTTTTTTCAACATGACTGGACAAGTTTTGTAGGGTTATATTCGATGATGAGGATGATGATACAAAGGGCATTTAAGTCTTTTTAAACAAACAAGAGATCCAGAGAGCAAGTCTTTGGCCCACCTTTTTAGGTGAGACAAAAAAAAATGCAGTTTTTGTCTTATTGACATCAGACCTGATCTCAATCCACTTGTACCCAAACACAATATAATTTTTCATGCTCATGTTTGGAGAAGGAAACAAATGGATCCTAAACAGGAATGGGGGTTATGGAATTAAATTACTTTCCTTTGATACAAAGAAATAAAAAAACAATGAAAGACATTTGTGGTCCATAAAGAATTAACCTTCTTCTATGGTTGCATCAACAAGACTTTTTAATAGTTTTTTTTTGGTAGAAGGTGTGCAATTATGAGAATAGAATACACATGTGGAGTTAATGGGCCAAAAAGTGTCTTGTGGTTGTGGGTGGTTGTTGGTAAGTCGATCAAGTAAGATTAATTAACATTGGGAATTGGGGTACAACTTTTTTTTGGGAATTGGGGTACAACTGGGAATGGATTTAGTGGGCATGATAATGATTTATGCTTTCAGTTTTTGAACCTTTTGTACACATTTGATTGGCCATCTTTGTAAGACACCCACATGTATATGTCGTTGACATTTTTGAACATGGGTGGTGTTCATGGGAGTTTTAAATTTTCAATGGATGAAACACTCAATAGTTAAATAGTACATGGTCAAACTTTTTTTTATTATTAGGCTGTGGAGAGTGGTCACATCCAAACCACCGAAAAAATATTGTCACCTCTATGTCACATCAGCTTCACCATCAACCCACTAGACAATGGAAATGGTTACCACTCCACATCATTTATATTTTTATTTTTTAAATTTTAAAACATTAGATTAAATAAAACCATTATTATAAACTTAAGTAATCATTTTACTAATTACAAAATCAAATAAACATATTATTAGTTTTTGAAATTAAATAAACATAATTATATATAGTTAAGGGTTTAACTTAATTCAAATAAAAGTGAAAGGTATAATAGGATGAAATGACAGAATATCAGGGACCACATTTGTAACTTCAATTAAAACATATATAATGTCCACCGGGTTGTCTTCTTCACCCCACTTCTGTAAAACGGGTACGTCCCTTTCTTTTTCTTTTTCTTTTTCTTTTTTCTACTTCGATGGATTAAAAGGAAAAATCAACCAAATTAAGGGTCAAAAAAGAAGCAACCAATAGGAAGCTCCGTCTTCATTGAGATCAATCCCGATATGTGCATCGGACGATTGACTATGTGTCGTTTCAGACGTTTTGGTTCTTTTAGACGAACCACCCGTAAAGATTTGAGAAGATGCCACATCTTGCCACTTTTTTGACATTTTTACAATGTTCCAAACATGTAAAAATTTAAATGGCGCCCCTTTTTGTTCCCGATACATTTCAAGAGTTTTTTGCAAAATGGTTTCGTCGTTTGCACTACTTTGTCATTGTCGTTTGACACTCGAAAACAACCAGTTGAACTCCGTCACGACTTTGTTAACATTTCGCTACTTAGAATAAACTTGGTCTTTTTTCCGGTAATTACCAAGATTCATCTCGTTCAGAAAACCGGCGCGTGATTTTTCGGAAGAAAGTTGGACAATCATGGTTGTTTCCAACCACAGGATCTTCAGAAACATCAACCCAAGCACGCGCTTAAGTCTTTTCTTCGGGGGATGTCCATTGCTTTGGAGGCGCCCTTCCACTTTTTTTTGTTGTTGTGGTTGATTCTCTTCCGGCTCAGATTCTGTTTCCGGGACGACTTCGGGTTCCGCTTCGGTTTGGTGGTTCATTGGGGACTCGGGAAGATCATCAAATGGATTGAACTCATGCATCATTTCGGATGAGAAGTTCATTTGTGGTTGATTTTGAAACTGGAGTTGTCTTTGAAATTGTGGTTGGTTTTGAAATTGAGGTTGATTTTGGTATTGCGCTTGATTTTGGTATTGAGGTTGATTTTGGGCTTGAAATGGGTAGTAAACACCACCTAAATGAATATTCGGTGGAGAATAAATAGGCCGATCGCGTTGGTTTTGGATGAATGTTGGTGAAGAAGGAGAGATGTTTGGGTTTTGAGTGTTTCGTTTGGTATTTTTTGAGCTTTTGGGTTGGAGGAGGAAGCCATTTTTTTCTAAAAAAATTGAATGGTTTTAGTGATAATTTTAAGGTTGTGAAGTGAGGTAAAAAATGTGTAAGAGTGGTATGTATTTAAAGTAAAAAAATGATTTTTTTGAATTTTTTTTTTTTGAAAAAACGGTCAAATTTGACCAGCCATTTTCGTATCCCAATACATCTCCAATGTCTCTCTCCTCGGTGAATAGTAGCCGAGTTGCCGAGCCGAGATCGGCAAGCCGAGGGGTCGGTCCGGTGTTTGCCGAGCTCGCCGATGTCCTAACCGAGTCCACACCGTCCAGCCTTATAAATTGTTTATTCATTTTTCTATCATAGTAATCTCCTTTTAAATCTATGTGTTATTCACTGACATTTCATTTAATAGATATTAGAAAATAACCCACTTTTCTGAATGTTATGTAAATGACCATAAAGTTTGAAATGCTGGAATCTCCAGACTCAGATAATTTTTTCGAACTACTTTTCAATGTTAGTTGAGTTTGAAAATATCATCTTTTTTTGTCTTGTTTTGTTATTTTTACAGTGAGATGCTCTAACATTTTTACTTCAAGTCGGTACATAGATCTAATACATAAAAACAAAAAAATACTACTGGAAATCTGAAAACTCGTATGAGGATTTTGATTTATCCCCGTCAATCTAAGCTTATTTCTGAAGAACGTTCATTTGAATAGAGTGGATGAGTGATGTGTTTAAGATATCTTGCCATGCGAATTTGGTTATCAAACATTCCGTCTCTTTTGAGTTCTTTTTTTTTGTTTGTTTAATCTACTTGTTTTCAATTTGTTGATCATCTGTTTCTCTGATGAAATTGTCAGCATGTCTTCCTTCAACCTCTACATCATGGTCCTTTCACAGCAGCTTTCATTTCTTCAGGCAACCTCTAGTAGACTGGCAGACCAGAGGAATATATGAAGAAAAAAGCTCTGTAATATATGAAGAAAGAGTTGAAGATTTACATGTCATTCCATGATTAGAAGACTTTCCAACTCGTATGGTTGAAGAGGTACCCATGTTGAAAATGAGTTTCGGTAAAGGAGTTGAAAATTCGCAAAATTTTAATCTTTGTTGTCATCTGTACATTTGCTAAAAGTAGGAATATTTTGTAATAATGTGGTAAATAACCAATTATTTATAATTAAGACAACATTGAACATGCTATAAACAAATCTACCCATTACATCGCTATGTAACATGCTACCTATTTGTATCAATCATCCCATTCCACAAATAAACCGAAAACCATACGATAACTACTTTCTGTACACATGGATACAAAAACTTTTATATGAAATCATTTAGTTTAGTCAGAGCCACCATCATCACTAGTATACAAAATATCAACAACGCATATATATCATACAATACACATGCATACATACATCAACACATTTCAAATTCATTGAGAAGAAGTCTGAGTTGCCCTGTTTTCTTGCCTCGGGGCATCCGCATACGTTTGTCCTTGTCCTTGATCTCTCATATCTCTAAACATCGAAAGAAACGAATTCAAACTCTCAGAAGACGCGCCTCCCAAGATCCACAACAACATCGAACTGAACGAATTCATTGTTCCCGGGTTTCCACCACCATCCGCCGCCGGAATTGGTGGTTGGGTTTCTTGATTTTCCGGCGGCAGCGGTTGGGCTGCGGGGTTTTCCGGCGGTCCGTTTGTTTGAACTGGCGGTGGAGCGGGTTGACCGCCTCGTGGCGGATTTGGTGTTACGTTTCTTAATGGGTTTAATCGGGTGATGTGGAGAGTTGAGGCGAGGATTGTGGAGGAGGTGATGTGGAAGTCTGGTTGTTGTTGGAATTGTGATCGTCTGTTTTGCATAAATCTTTGTAAAGCTGGAACCTATGAAATAAGGGTTAAATGCAAGAAATAGCAACCTACTTTTATTGATTTTTTAAAGTAATATCAATATGTTCTCACTTCAAATCTGTTCCAGAAGTAGAGGATGAGGTGTTGCATAAATGCAGCAGTTGTTGAAAGGGCCAAATAGGAAAATCCTGAAAATTTCATTTTACAATGTTATAATAAAAAATTTGTAAAAAGATTTAGATTTGATAAGTAGTAATAAAAAGGACCAACCATGGGTATAGGAGAAGAAATAGATATGAAACACCAGAAAATACAACAAAAAGAAGCGTGGAAAGAACTTCATTGATATTGGCGTACGAACACTGCGAATAAAAAAATTATATATATATATATAAATCAATCATTTTGAAAGTTGAATGTTGTAATAGGGAGAAATGGAAGTAGGATGCAAAAGACGTGAATGCCCTCGTCCTCATCATCAAAAATTAACCTGATAAGAGTGAAGAGTTCACAAAGCCAGACAAGAATCAACACCATGAAAGCCAAAAGCTGGTCATCGTAAAACTCAAAAAGAAAAAACAAGATCCCAATCATTATCTGCATATACACAAACACAAAATGGAAACTAATCCATGTTAGATTTTATATCACAATTTTTTTTTAAAAAAAAATATATATACATATACAAAACTTACAGGTACAAAAACTAGAGATTCAATCACATGAACAAAAATCAACTGAAAAGTCGGGAGACGATGTCGCGCATGGTGTTGGAGCTGCACTATAAACAGAGAAAAACATAAACAAATTACATTAAATAATTATCTTTTTTGTTTGGTTATTATATTTAAAATAAATAAATAATTAAAAGATAGAAGAACAAACCTGTGA